ACTCTCTCTGGAAAAATAAATAAATAAATGGAAAAAATATCCTCTGCTAAAGATTAACAATAACAAAAAAGCCACAATGCGATACCATTTAATACTCATTAGGATAGCTATTTTCTAAAAAATGGAAAATAAGCATTTGCTAGGATGTGGGGGAACTGGAACCCTTATACAATGCTGGTGGGAATATGAAATGGTGCAGCTGCTTTGGAAAATAATCTAGCAATTCCTCAGTTAAACACAGAGTTACCACATGACCCAGCAATTCCACTCCTAGGTATATACCCCAAAAGAAATAAAAATGTTATGTCCACACAAAAACTTATACGTGAATGTTTATAGCATTATTCATAATAGCCAAAAATTTGAAACAACCTGAATTTCCAGCAATTGAAAAATAAACAAAATGTATATCCAAAAAATGAAGTATTCATCCATAAAAAGGAACATGCCACAATATGTATGAATCTTCAACACATTATGCTAAGTGAAAGAAGCTAGTCACAAAAGACCATATATTGTTCCATTTATTAAAAATGTGTAGAATAGGCAAATCTATAGAGACAGAAAGTAGGTTATTGGTTGTTTAGGGCTGGGGTGATGGAGTGGTAGGGGGATGGTAACAAAAGGGTACAGGGTTTCTTTTTGAGGTGGTGAAAATGTCATACAACTAACTGGTGATGGCTGCACATATCTGAATACACTGTAATCCACTGACTTATATACTTTAAATTGTACAGTTATATGATATATGAGTTATCTATAATAATAAAAGCATAATATGCTAATTAGACCGGATGTCCTTCCAGACGAAGCCGGAGCTGCAAGGGAAGCCCGGGTCCCGGGTGCTGGAGGGAAGCCAGTGCCAGTAGCCAGGGAAAGGAAGGCCTACTCTTGCACAAATTTTGTGCATCGGGCCTCTAGTAATTCAATAAAGCTATGTGAAAAAAAAAGAATGAAGCCAGTGTTAAACTTTTAATTCAATCATTTAAAATTACAATTTAACTGTCAAAAAACACATACTAATGCCTCAGTCTTTTAATTCATTTCGAACAATTACACCAAACTTAGTGTTCTGTACCAAAGTAAGTGTAATGAAATATAAAATGCTCTACCCTACCATTAATTAGTTAATAATTTACTATTTTCCTATCATGTTCTATTAGTAGCCGCTTGTCTCCTACTATATCTGTCTGACACAGTATCACCACAGCAAGCCATAGACAGCCTGAGGGACCTAAGAGGATCTGGAGCAATACAGACCATAAAGGTACGGAGGTGGACTGTTTTTGTGCAGGTGTGATTGGGGGGCAGACCTTTAGAAACACAGGGTAATTCATCATTGTGGGGAAAGGAAAAGATGTCCCCTTCCCTCCTCTGGTTCTTTTTGGCTGGTTGAATAATTAAATCAACATGAGATATTGACAAGAAAAAATCAAATTTATGTTCAGTAATTAATTTGCCCTGCCATATAGATGAGTTATCTCCAATAATAACTCATTATCAGCAAGGCTGTAATTCAAATCCCTCTACTAGTAAATAGTTGGAGAGGCGGTGGCGGAAGTTTCTCTTGAGCCCACAGGGTCTCAGTTGCCTTTAGCTCAAAATAACCCATGTACCACTGACATACGTCTTGGGGTGGCTGGTTCTGAACCCCTATATTATGAAAAGGACAATAAAAATCCAAAGCATTCTATTATTCATATTATCACCTGTTTATATTTTAATTGTTTTAAACATAACCTGGATGTCTAAAAAAGTTCACAATATTGCAAAAATAGTGAAAAAATTTGAACTTCCCAGTTTACTCTTCAGGATCTACAACTGTTTAGTTTTTGCCCCAATTCTGGAAGTGAATCCTCTCACTTGGAAAAATGAGATGGTTACCATAAACTTGGTAAATAATACCCACTGGTAACATAAGTATGAAAACCAAATGTAGTTCCTTGGGTAGATTTTTATTGAAAAAAGATCTAATGAAGATCTTATATCACCCAAACACTTAATAAGGATAGATGAATGACTATAATACAAAAAAATGTAAATTTTTTTCTTTCACTGTAGCGTTTTCCACATTGACTTTTCCCTTAACACTTAAAAAGCACTGCAGTGGCAACACCCAAGGATATCTATAATAATAAAAGCATAATATGCTAATTAGACCAGATGACCTTCCAGATGAAGCCAGAGCTGCGAGGGAAGCCAGTGCCGGCAACCGGGGAAAGGAAGGCCTACTTTTGCACGAATTTCGTGCATCGGGCCTCTAGTTATTATATATTAATCATGTTGCTGAAAAGATTCTGCAGATTTCACTTTATTTTAGCTCTGTAAAGCTCAAGGAGGAGCAGGCACTAAAGAATGTTGGCTTTTAGGTGGTTCCCTGAGCTGGACAGTCCATCTTCCCAGGGTACAAGTCTAACCAAGTGTAATGAATGTGAATTATTACAACTGATGAATTCCCCGAGCAGCCTGGCTCTCAGTGCTCAAATAAGGTCATGCACACGTTCTGAAAACAGAGCTTCCTTTGTTAAGATCAAATGAGGCTTCAAATTCAAAATGTTCAAGTCTCTCTCTGAAACAAAATAAAATACACGTAGCTGTACACATATATGCACTTTTTACATCTTTAATCTTGAGAATTAAGCCCACCTTAGTATGGGCTGTCAATTTATCACCTTAGCATTCTGTGGCAAACAGGCTTTTCCTCATTAGCAGTATGCAATTTCAACCCCTCAGTAATGAGAGAGAATGAGATTATTGGCAGAGTAAGAATATCCTCTAGGAAGCTACTAAAACTCCAAATAAATTAACTTTTTAAAATGTGCTTATTTGTTAAGATTAATGATTTGTGATATTATCTACTATGAAAATTATTCCAAATGGATTGTCATCACAAAAAGTGAAAAAATAGGGCTTCTATAAATTAATAGATTTTCTTGAATATTCCAGTTAATTGCTTTAGAAAGTCCTTCTCTGCCCTACTTACCCAAACCCCCTTCCCACGGGGGAAAATACACTTACAGAAAGAATGCCTTCACTGCCTTTTTAAAATCTTATTTGCTCCTGCCAGTAAAGGGAGAAAGGATTTGTACAGGTTTATAAAATATTCATCTGTTTCAAGCTACCTTCTGATTTTTGAAGGTTTTTCACTTTATGCAGCTTTATTGAAATATAAATGCTTACTTATCCCAAAGGATGTAAGGTTGTTTTTAGCAAATGTTTCTGATTCCTGATTCCTACCAGCATTGAGACTACTCTGGGAGGTAGTTTTCTACAATGTATTTCAATACATCTTTACTTTTTTCAGCAATATAATTATCTTCATGACTTCCGGGACAAACTAGCTGCACACCTGTCATCAAGAGATTCACTATCAAGATCTGTATCTAGATAAAAAAAAAAAAAGAATTCCAAACAGCATATATATGACCATGTCTGATATTTGAGTTCTCTAATGTGAAACCACGTGTTACCAACTTGAATGTAAATGTGTATGTGCAGATATTTCTAAAGCTTTTATTGATAAATTTCATTGTGTCTCTTTCATCTCTTATAGGACAAAAAAAATTCTACAGTTTTCCTTTTAGAAATGAACTGGCTGCTCTGGTATATTTTACCTGGAGATAATGCTGAAAAAAGCATATGGGAAAAATATTTGGTTGCATATTTTTATTTGCCACACTTTACCTCATTTTACTATTGTAACTACTGGGTGGTATATAACATAGTACTAACTGTGAAAATTGGTATAGGAACCCAAGCAAGCTAAAATTATTTAAATAATTTTCACTTTTTATTCCTCTCAAACTCCCATTTTTTTCTACTTCATAGATAAATAAAATTGTGAGGGATCCTATGGATCTAGTCACCTCCCTGCCAATACTGAATCATTCCCGACAGCTGTGTATCCAGCCAGCATTTGCTTGGACATTTTTAGAGACACGGAATTCTTGGTTCAGACAGCTGCTCCGATTTTAGAACATTTTTTCCACCCTAGAAACTACATGAATGACTTTAATCCCTCTTTCACACTTATTGTATAAAGTGCTTATCTACAGATTAACAATCTCCAATTCTCACTCCTTCACCTTATCTAAGGCTATTGAACATGTCTTTTTTCACCATCAGCAGTCTTTTTGTCTTTCTTTTTTTTAAATATATTTTATTGATTTTTTTACAGAAAGGAAGGGAGAGGGATAGTTAGAAATATTGATGAGAGAGAAACATCGATCAGCTGCCTCCTGCACACCCCCCACTGGGGATGTGCCCACAACCAAGGTACATGCCCTTGACCGGAATCGAACCTGGGACCAAAGGTCCAGTATGTACCATAATGTACAATCAGTATTTTAACATTCTTATGTTTAAACTGGGGATTTCTTTTCCAACACAATAAATGCCAAGTTATAGCAAGAAAGGTTATTTTTTTAAAGTACAGGCTGTAATCACAGATTGACCTTCCTAATGATTTTGGTATTATAACCAAATACAACTTAAAATCACAAGAGTCTATTAAACTTTAGGAAGTCACTCAAATTGACATGACCAAATCTTATATTAGCTTTCTTCCAATATAAACCTATGGTTTATTAATGAATACTTATGAAAATGGAGGGAAAATGCTGGCCTGGATTAATCAAACCCTTTATAATCAACTGAATTGTCAAGTGCACGCATGTATTAATTTCCACTGCAAGTGCTCATTAAGCCTTTCCATTTAAATGCTTGACTAAACTACTTTAGCACCAAGGGGATAAGGGAAAACATCAATTATTCCAACACAGAGAAACATGGGGTGGCACTACGCAAAAATATTTGTCCAATTAAATTTAATATGTAAATCAGTCTTAGAAAGTATCTTATCTGCCCAACCTGTGGGTCAGTCCTCAGAACAGTGGGAAAGGAGAGGCTGAGACTGTCTAGAGTGCTGGTCCAGCCAAGTTAACTGCTGAAATTGAATAACACACTTTATAACCAACCATTATCCATAAACTACACAAGGAAACATTTGAGATGGTTTTTATTAAATATACAAAAGCAAAATAAATCAAGCAAGCTCTAGGAAGGTAGGACTACTTAATGGCATTTTCTTTGGATGGTGGTACAGCACCTTTAAGGTTAACTTAGATTTCAACAAACCTGGAGCACAAATAGCTAACTACATTCTATGTTTCTCTTAGCAGTTTTAGGGTCTACCCAGTCATCAATCTATTATTTAAGAACTTTTCTTCTCCAGAATACATAAACATGGTAACCAAAGAAATGCAATGTTTAGAAAAGCACTGAACAATAAAATTATTCATTCTTTTCCATGTCAAGATATTCACTACATCTTCACTTCCACAATGTGCATTAACAAAATCAATGTAGGATAAGACATTCACTCTCATCCCATAGACTGATCACCTTATATTGTTAATACTGTTTTCCAAAACCAAACAGAACAAACAGCAAAGCTGTTTACCCCTTTTAAACATTTAGCTTTAGCTTTAGTGACATTGTTCTACAAAAGCTACTCAACATATCCAGAAATAGAACCACATTTTGCTCTTGACGTCACCCTAGAGTATTAGTTCAGAACCAACTTCTGAGCTATATATTAGTCCCAGAGACTCATTAGCTGCTGGTCTGACTAGAGATCAATAATTGGTTTGAGCAAAAAAAATTATTTGAGACTAACATTATTATTAGTTTCCAAAAAAAGTGACTATGAGTACTTTCATGAACATTACTAGACACAGTGTCAATATTTTTGTCTTTCCCCTTTGAAAAGAATGTTTTAAAATATTTTTGCTATCAGAATTTGATTTACAATTATACTATACAACTGATTGGGAGATGCACATTTGTGGGTATTACATTATATAAACAAACTTAGATGTGTACTTTTAAAATACAGATCAGTACTTGAATGGGCTCCATGTATCACAATGCTATGCTGTAGCCACACCTAAGATGAAAGCCCAGCCCCCTGCTGGGTATAACAGACACAACAGAAGTCATTATTTGCACCATGACAATACCATTCCATGAACACTGATCATAAACATATAACCTGAGGAAAAGAAAAGTGTTGTACCAAAGAAAATATTTTGCTAGCTTCAAAGTATATCTACAGCTCTATTTCCTTTCTATACAAATATCTGACATTAAAAAAAAAAAAGCTGATTTGAGGAGCAGAGAAGAGCTCTTCTGAGAGCTGTTAGCATGAGTGGTCCTCAAGATGAAAAATACTGAACCACCTTTGAGAGACAGACACACTTTGTGAGAGACCATTATCAGGGTATCTGAACCTGATGGTAGGTCTGACAGTTCATGTTTTAATCCATGGTGTTTCTCAAATGCTTTAGTAATACCTGGTACATGTCAAAAGTGGACATCTGATCATTTCCTATCATGCCCTTCTCATGGAAAATAATTTAAATTTCAAACAAATAAGCAGTTTGTATATAGCCTAGGAGCCAACTCTCCTCTACTCTGGGACAGGGGTGGGGAAATCAGTTGAGCACTATGAAAATCAAGAACTACCACTAATAAAATTCAGATATTGGCATTCAAATAAGTTTCTACCCATGATATAGTAGTATGACTCAAGAGAATAGCTCCTAAATAGACTACATTTGTTATATAAGATTTCTAACTCAGGAGAATCTATAGTACCCATAGCAACAAAGAGCTGTTAGTGTAAACATAAGTCACAATGTGTTACAGTAATGGTTTCTGAGTTGGAAACCTCTTAAAGATAAAGCACTTAATATCAAAAGTAATTGTAACAAGGAGGGAAAGAGTATTTAAACAGCTGTCTGCAGAGGAATTATTGGAAGGATTATAACCCAGGCTAACTATGCCTCAACTGGACCTGCAAGAATAATATAAGTAAGGCTAAAGGGGCCCCGGACAATGTGGATCAGTGGTTAGAGCATCAGCCTGCACACTGAAGGGTCTCAGGTTCAATTACCAGTCAAGGGTACATGTGGGAGGCAACCAATCGATGTTTCTCTCACAATGCTTTTTCTCTCTTTTCCTCCCCTCCTCTCCCTCCCTTCCACTCTCTCTAAAAATCAATGGAAAAAAATATCCAAAACAAAACAAACAGATTAATAGGTGGGGGGAGAAGGGGCACAAATTAAATTCAGAGCAAGGAAAGAGTTAATGGGATATTGTCAAATGCAATTTTGTTTCTACTTTCTCCTGTAAGGGATTAAATTGCATAAAACACTAGAAAAGGTAAAGATGAGTAGATATTGAGAGACCATCCAAGTACTCAATGTTCTAATCACTTACATGCCTAGGAACCAACAACCTACCACCAAGATGGGTGATCTTCACGGTCAATCATCTTTGAGGAATCAACTAAGGACTACATATCTGGTTTTTAAAGCATGAGAAGGTGGCTTCCACAAATTGCAACCAGTAAACCCTGCATTAATCCTGAATATTCCAGAATACGTTATTAAAAGGATATTTGTTAAAACTTATAAAGGTTTTGAAAATACTTGGACAGGATTATTTATGAAAGCCCCAGGAAACCTATCTGGTGGATAGACTTGGCTGGGTCTCTCATGATCACAAGTAGTTGTGAACAAAAAAGAAAAATCAGGAGTAGGTACTGATATAATCAGGTGGATCTGAAACTGAATGACTCCTCATATTCAGAGCATGAATTTTCAATGCCTAGCTGTGATCGGCAAATAGTTTACTGCAGGAACTGACCAACAGTCAGTTCCCTCGAGGTGTTCCCCAGGCTGTAATATACAAGGTCTGTAAAGCTTCTCATTATGAAATGGTGTGACTCTTCTCATTCTCCTGTTTCTACATCCTCTTCAACATTATTCTCCTCCATTACCCAATCCCAAGCTGTGACAGCTACTCTCCCAAAAGTGAGGAAGCATTTTTCTTAGATTTCTACAAAGATATCCATAAACACCCTTGATCATTATATGCAATTTCTATATATTGGTTTTCATTGTTTAAGAAACATATCCACTTACACTATTTTCAATTGCCTTAACTTTCTCATCCCAAATGCAGCACAAAAATGCTTATGAAAACATGCAAGCCATAATTTAACTGCCTAAACAAAAATTAAGTCATTTTATCTTAAAACCTGCTGTTTCAAAAAGGCAAAAAAAAATTTAGAACTTATAAGTGCTACAATTTTTTTAAGTTGGTAAGAAAAATGACAATGCTGTGCCATCAATGGTTATGAATTGTGACAAGTGACAACAGAAGATAATGTGCTTAGTCACTTAAAAATCTTTTTAGATCCAGACGTGGTATTAAACAAAAAAACAATGTAATACTCTATTTTTTAAAAAACTGACAGTAATATGTCTTTATTTTGGGTTAAGCAAGTTTATGAAATTGCTATTTGTAATCTTTAAAACAATGCACTGAAAGTCTTAATTTCAGAATTTTATTGTATTGCACTAAAGGAACAGCAGGGCAGTTATACAATGTTCTCTTTCATACCGTTTTATAAATCTGAAGTACTTGCAAACTCTTAAGACTACCTTTACCACCAGATTAGGACAGTAAGTATAATAACCAATTTCTTAATAATAATGCCCTACAAATTAAAACACATTTAAAATAGCTTTAAATGCATTCTTCATAAGTAATTCAGCGTATGTTTTTATATATTCACTTATGCTTAAGAATTAAAGCAAGTATATTATTGTGATGGAAATATGGGAAATCTCTCATTCATGCAATATACAGGGATAATATTCAAGTTAAAGGGGGGAAAAATCCCACTCTTCTTATTTTTTTAATGTATCCTATATAATCGTCTACATGATAGATGAGGAAATCCATGAAGTTTCCCACAGATCAGATATATATTTTCAGTTCATCAGAAGCACCTGGTCATCTACAGCTACTTGTAATTAGATGGCATTTCATTAAAACCAAAACAAGTTCCTATAAACAAAAGCTTCCAATGGACTAAGGACAATAATTAATGCAATCATTCAAGGGATCATGGCTGTTCCTTAAGGAGTGCAAGTTCCAACCTGTCAACACCAGAGGTAATCATTTTACATTAATTTATACGTAATTCATTTAAATTCTTTATCCAAGTATAACATATTAAAACAGTCTTTCCACAAGCAAAAAATGTGGAAACATTTAAAAAATAAGGAGTCATTTTTAATGTAACTGGTCAGATTCCATAGGCTACTCTTGGAAACAGGGTCTTGCTGGATAGAATCCCTTCGTCGGGTGGCTTTTTGCATGCATTTAACTGGACCACTTCTTCTGTGTGTTGTTCTAAGAGCTCACCAAGACATAGATCATGCTGAAAAGAAGGAAAAGGCTGTTAATTCAAACATTCCTCATTATAAAAACTAAGAGCGCCAAAAAGTTGAGTCTATTCTATATAGCAAGCAAGTCTGTGGTATTACACCATCACAGAACATAAAAGACCAGTAAGTTCAAACATGATTTTAACTGGCAATTATGGACTTTTGCCTACGGTAGGACTTAGCTTGGTGCATGTACTATAGTTGTTCCCTGTTCCTTTCCCATTTTAGCAAGTAGAACAGCACAGCTGAAAGCTTAATGGGGGATCTGAGCTTAGAGAAATCCAAAATACCACACTTGGGAGTTGAGTCTATTAATAGAAGTGCATCTCCAAGGGGTCACTTCCTGCCAGGCCCTGTTAGATCTTCATACATGACCTCCTTGAATGCTCCAAACACTCCTAAGAGGTGAGTACTACTATTAACCCCATTTTACAGATTAGGAATGGTCAGTTAAGGAACTTTCCCATTAGAGAAAGGCTCTAGGCAACAGCAACAGGGAATTAAAAAAAAAAAAGAAAAGAAAAAAGGACAAACAAGCAAAATGAAAAGCAATATCCATTTGATTTAGGCTTAAAGACTGCCAGACAATTCTACATGCTATGTAGGCATAGCATGCTTCAGAACCATGTATCTCTAAATGAAAACGCAAACCAAGGAGGTGTGCAAACTCAAATTAAAGCGGAAATGAATGTCCTAGTACCACCACTTCCTGGTGAACATTTTCCCACACTATACATCTCCAATGATTGATCCAATCATTCATTTCTTTCAATAAAGTTTTACGTGTCTACTATCCGCTAGCACTGTCCTAGACATTTGTTACAGAAACTTAAAAATAAAAACAAGAAATTGGGATGACACACAGAACTTCACTTTTCAGAACTGATTCGCTTTCTTTGTTTCACATGCGAGTGACATCTGTAGATAACAGTAAAAGAGATACTCATTTTCACAATTATAACCTCTAAAGGCATATTCCAGTCAAGCCTTTCATGCGTCCTTTTCTACAATGAAATTTATATGATATAAAGAGAACTATGAATATAAACTTGCAATATAATACTTAGCAAGTTTTCAAGTAACAAATAGGAGAGGAAATGGAAGCTAGTTATAACAATTACATCTCATACAGCTAATTTCCCCCCAGATTTTGAAAATCAGATGGAAAGCCCTCTCTAGCTGAATATAAATCAATAAAAGATGAGAAAAGTTTATTTATACCACTTAAAGTTATACTTCCATACCTGACAATGTCCTTTTCTAGTTTTAATAAGTAGCCATTTTATTTCACCTACAGTACACCCAGAGCAGTGCTTCTCAGGCAGGGCCAATTTTGCACCATAGGAGACAACTGGGGGAGGGGATGCTACTGGCTGTGGATACAGATGCTGCTAAGTGTCCTACAATGCACACAACCAAGATTTACCCAGCCTAAAATGTCAACAGTGCCCAGATTGAGAAACCCTAGTATAAAGGAATGCATCAGTCTATCATGATAGAAAGGGAGAAAAATTGATAATTACACCATCCTATAACATAGAACTGTTTCTTTCATTCATCAAATTCAGATCAAGCAAACTATAAGATAAAGGGCACAGCATATAGAATTTATGAAGCATGATAGAAAAAAAATTAAACACAATCTCGAGACTGATTTTTTTTTTTTTTTTTTTTTTTTGGGCAAACTCACCAAGCCATATTCTCCCAATGCCATCATCTTACCACCTTACCATGAAGAATGAGGATGGTCCTTCACTAACTAAATGAACCTGAAAACTTAGGAAGTAGCATGCCTGGCCAAACTATCTGCTTCTGACAGCACGTCAGTTGGTACTTTGACAAGTACCAGTATATTCATATTCCATGTGAACTGGCGGGTGTGCACTGTCATTACTAGTTACCAACATTCAAGACACTGAGCTATCCTTCAAGTGGATTCTAAGGTGTTAAGATCATAATGCCTCCAAACTTTTTAGACAGCAAATTGAAATATCACATTTTTATTTTGTTTTTTAAACTTACCCATATAAGTAGTAAAAAAAGGCTAGAAGATAAAAAGCTAATTTGCACCATCCTTCTTTCTGACAATATGCTAGAATATCAGCATTCATGATGGTTGTAGGGTCATAGAGTCCTGGTCCACTCATCACTGGTCTACTCATATACCTGTAATAAACACAGTCTATCAGCCACGCAGAAAGGGAGCAACCCTTCAGGATGGGAAGGAGGGTTTTTCCCTCATGTTTGGTCACATAGGAAATGATACTTTTAGAGATGGAGTTCTTTCCTTTCATCACCTTAATTTTAAAACTACAGCCCCTAAATGAGCAGAACAGGACAGCTAAAGAAGTCACATCTGGTCTCCTCTACACTTTATCACAAATCCAAGAAAAACAGGAATAACTGTAAAAAGGATATAAGATTTAACGTTTTATTTTAACATAATTTTACTTACAGAAAAGGTACAAGAACACTTCACCCAGACATTCCAAATGTTTACACTTACCATATTTGCTTTATCCTTCTCTCTCTCATTTTATCTCTAAATATGCATACTTTTTTTTAACCATTTCAGAGTCAGCTATAGATGTAATACCATTTTACTCTTAAACACTTCTTCAGTATATATTTCCTAAAATCAACGGCAATGTCATTTTTACACCTAAGACAAAAAACTTTTAATTCTACGTAGATCAGGTAGAACTTTTAAAAGTTATGAAATATGAGTATCTTTTATAAATAACCACATTAAAGTCATAAAACAGAGAAAGAAGTTAGATACACACTGTACATTTGGATTTATATGAAGTTCAAAAAAGGGCAAAATTAAGGTTTTAGAAGTCGGTAGTTCTCTTTGGAAGTACAGGGGTAACAGGATGGGTTGGGGCTGGAACTGGTGTATGTCTCGATCTGGTGGTGGTTTCGTGGGTGTATACATATGTATAAATTCATTGAGCTGTACGCTTCAGACTTTGCACAGTATTGTCTGTAAGTTATGCCTCATTAAAAAAACACCTTTAAAGAGTAATAAAGCAAACTCTCTAGAGTCTAAGAGGTGTAGTAAATCAGTTATTTGCTCATCCACTTGATTTTTAAAATAAAGGCCAACTAATTTCCAGTTTTTATTTAGGTAACTAGCAAGTAAGACTAGAATATGATTTAATTAGGACAAGTATTAGAAGTATATCTAAATATTACCTCCAAATATGATATGCCAAGAGGGGCATATTGAGGCCCAGGGTAAGCCATTCTGCTGCACAAAGAAACATGACACAGAAGAAAGCATGGATGAGGTACTCTGGAAGTACAAGCTGGAAGAAAAACACAAGCCAGTCATCAAAATGCCTGGGCGTTCAATCAACTGTTAACTTGGAAAGCAGGTGGCAACCAAGTTTCCATAATGAAAAATTACTGTTTTCTTAGATTCAAAGATGAAACTACTGAATTTCATTCCCATATTTAACTTTTTACCAAAGCAGGATTATAAGCAAACGGATAAGAGGATATAGCTTGCACTAAAAGAATAAGATAAAACCTAAAATTTAAAACTCAAATTCTTAAAGCAATAGGTTATATTATACAAAGTTACCACCCAGATTGTTTAGTTATTTGCTAATCAACTGGAATACTTTTTCTTTCCACCATTCAATAATGACAAAATTACAAAATGAGATATCTGATCACATGCAACATGATATAAAAAAAATCCACAAAAACAAAACTCCCCTTTAGAAGTTTAAACATTAGTGTTTTTAAGCCTTTAACAGAAACCCAGAATGCTACATATACTGTATTTAACAAACCACATCACATTACCACCAAGTAATTTTTCAATGGAAAGCCAACAGCCAATAATCTCAGCACAGTCAGGGAGGAAAGAATACTAATATGCACAAATACAAACGATGTGCTTTCTGCAATGTAGGAGGGAAAAGACTGAGCTCTGACCCAAGAAATTGGAATTTACCCCAGTTCCTGCGCTTCCATTCTTACACGGCCTTCCTGTTTCTTTAAGCCTGCTTTCCAATGAAAGGCTACAGACAGGACAGACCAGTAGAAGCTCAGAACTCAAGAACAAACTAAATCTTTTGGTAGTAGGTAGTATTAAGTGAGGAAAAATCAATTCAAGCAAAATGCTTTTATAAAATGACCAGGAGTTAACGCTTTGTTTTAAATTATCTTTCTCATCCTAAAGATTTCAGCCTAATGACTTTATAAATAAAAATACCAACACGGCCCGGCCGGCTAGCTCAGTGGTTGAGCGTCGACCTATGAACCAGGAGGTCACGGTTCGATTCCCAGTCAGGGAACATGCTGGGATTACAGGCTGGATCCCCAGTTCGGGGCGTGCAGAAGGCAGCCAATCAATGATTCTCTGTCATCAATGATGTTTCTCTCTCTCCCTTTCCCTTCCTCTCTGAAATCAATAAAGATGTATTTTTAAAAAAATAACACCTGTCATTGCAAGTTGCAGCCAAAGAACTTCCTACAAGTCACAGCTGCAAAGCAGTTTCTCAAATGTTTGCGTCATACCAAATTAAAATTATATGAATCTTCAACATTATCAGATCTTTCCTAAGGGGAAACCATAGCTGTAGAAAAAATAGTTATACTCTACATTCAAGCTGATTTTCTAATACTTCCAAATTACCTTTTCCCAATTTAAAGTTATAGAGAGAAGTTTTTAATGAATTACTATTTTAAATGAAATCCCAATAAAACTAATTTTTCCACACCACCCACCAGGTATTTTCTACAAAGTTAAGTATATAAACTTGTAAATAGCATGAACCTTTAAGCTAGCATTTATTTAACATCAAAGTTAAACATCTACAATCTCTAAAGAAAATGTCCATAGGAAATCTTTAAAACTCTGACTACAACCAGGACAAACCAAGAAAAAAAGACATTTTATTAGGAGTTCCACTACAGCTGCTGTTTACAATCCTGGTTTAAATTATGGGATTTTTCTTTTAAATAAAGAAAATTAAAACTGGCCCTCTAAAAGCCCATTAATATCTAACAATATGAATTCTCGCCCAAGTTTTTGCCCTACACTTTACAGGCTGAGGTATGGGGAGAGAATGATTTTGAAAGTATGATCCCTACTGATCTTAAACAATATACTTTAGTGACAGTGAAAATGATCTGCAATTCTACCAGTTCTAATATGAAAACAAATGCCACACTCCTTCTAAAAAAAAAAAAGTCCAGAAACTTTTATTATGCACCTATCATAAAAACCAGTCCTCTCTGATTGTTCTTTAATGACAAAATTTTCCCAAAAGTGGCACAAAAGTTATCCCACCTAGGAAACAACTTTTACACAAAAACTTCCAGAAAAAAATACCTCATGCACTATGGCGGAAATGATAGCACTTTAACATACAAATCAATATATTCTCTAGTTAAGGCTCACATTTTTAAAAATAATGATATTTGTCTTCCCTCATACTTTGGCAGAATTGTCAAAACAAAATTTTAATAGGGAAAACTGTCAGATGCACTGCTATTAAGCCAATTATCGGCACCCTATCCGAAATACAACCTGTGTTTGTATAAAAACTTCCTCCCAACATATTGCAGCATTAGGATATCTCAAACACATCTCTAAATGAGAATTTCTTTCCATTTTAAGAAAAGCCAGAAATCACACGTTAAAATGAAATTAGTCCCTCTTAAATTTATAGTAAAGTAGGAAAATACAAGAGCTTGAGCTTAACAATCAGGTTGTCAGGTTCAAATTCTGGTTATAACTTAGCTGTGTAACCTTGAGCTAGGCGCTTTAATCTCGCTAAGCCTCAGTTTACTCTCCTATTCATGAAAATAAACTGTCATGAGAACTGGGTGACAAAACCCAAGATAAGATGCTCAGCTCAGAGCCTGGGACCCAGGAAAGCACTCATCTGATTTCAGCTATTATTATTCTCATCATGATTTGCTTTTTTGAAGTAGTGAAAAGACAAAGACAGAACACTAATATTAAACAACTGTCAAAAGGAGAAACTTCAGTTTCTAAATTTCTTGTAATAGTGTGTTAAGATGTTTTCCAATGAACATTATTACTTTCCAATGAGAAGGCAATCATCTTATATTTTGTTTCATAAGAGCAGAGAAACAATTAGTAAGTTAATACTTTTTAAATGTATATACTCAGCATACTGTAACAGTTCTTTAAAGCCAAACTAGAAATCTATTCCATCATTCATATTTATCTAAGAAACAATAATAAAGTAGCAAACTAACTTTACAGACTAGCAACTTTCAACCTTTTTCAACTTGTGGCACACATAAGCTAATTACTAAAATTCTGTGGCACACTAAAAACGATATATTTTGCCTATCTGAAAAAAAAATAGCTATAATTTTGACTCATTCACACCGATGGCTACTGTTTTAGCTGTTGTCATTTTTTATTTGGCAATCTATGGGAGAAGAGGTCAGTGCCCCTGACTAAATAGTCATGTATTGCATGTTTTAAAAACTCTTGCTACACACTGGTTGAAAATCGCTGTTATAGATCCTTTTCCAAATAAAATCCCTCCAGCAAGCTAGTGAATTACAGTTTTATACAACTGAAGTCTACACAAGCTCTCATCTTCATGAAGTAATTTTTAAAGATGAACTATAGTATACTATATCTTAAAGTACCCACTGCTTTCTTACAAACCACCTTTCAGTTTCTGACCAGCTAGGTAAAATCAAACTACAGGCTAAAGGGGAATCTTTCTAAATGAGGTAAGTAAATAAAGTAAAAATATAGAGAGAACCCCCAAGCACAATGGAGTTACATTATAATTAAACCCATTAGAACCTAGTACAAGACAGGTCTGTTTTAGAAATTTAGAGTGGATATGTATTAGAAATAACTATGTAGATAATTGTATACAAATTATCCACAAAATTCTGGCAGCATGAGTCCAGAGCCAAAGAACAGAGCTATCTACCTAAAACGCTCTGAATAAACATCAGCTGAAACAGAATTAATTCCAGAGCAGACATAATTAAAGATAAAACTAGATAGGGGACTAAAGACTCCCTCACAGCAACAACAGGTAAATAATCTTACCATCTATTAAAGTCATTTTATGTTATCCAACTGTCAAACATTGCACCAAATAATTCAACATAGAAGTGCCTATAACTATAATATTTTTTAAAAAATGCATAAGCATTTAACAGCTTTCCCTAGTTGACAGGGCCAGCAAGCATTTGCATAAAATATGACATTTCATGAAAGCATAAACCTCAACAGGCATATGAACGAGCACACTGAACAGAACATTTTACAAATACAAATGCCCTAACCCTCCCCATGAAATGAATGTAGCAGGAAAACATTAAACTAAAAAGCAGTACACACCTTTAATGCAATTTTGACTCTTTTAATCTTTTTGACCTTTTCAACTGTCTTTGGCCGACAATGTAAAAAGCAGATTGGAAGAATGTTAGTATGACAGCTGACAAGATCACCAGCAGATTAATAATAGTCAGAACAGTCAAGCAGGACAGAAAAAAGAATATTTTTTTAAAGTCTGTTTCAAAAAGTACAAATATACCATGCTACTGAGAATATTGGCCATTTTCAAATTATATCAAGTTAAAAGCAAAGACGGTCTTAAAATCTAAAGAAAACTCCGATATTATAACTTACAGGATTCAGGGTATTACACTGGTCTATAGGATTCTTGTAATCAGTCTTCAGCTCATCAAATGCTATAATCTAAAATAGAATTACAACAGTTAGGACCTCTTGCTTTAATAAAAAGATGCAACAAACCTGCCCCATCATCAAATAAAAACTGAATAAAGTTAATAAAAAAGCAAACATTGCATGTACACCGATTTACAGTAAACTCAGTATCTGCTAATAAGTAACTAGAATCAGACTTAAAGAACTGAAAACACTTTTATATTATTATCACTAACATGATCTATTACTGTGATAAATACCTTCAATTTTCAATTGTTTTCTATGCCTCTTTCAAGTTATTTTGACTTGACATTATCTTCGCCCCACCCACAACTATTCATCAAAACTCTTTATCCTAAACAACCTTCTTCCTATGTCAACTCATCCCTTAGGCAGATATAAGTGCCTATCTGTCTAATCCAGGGGTCCTCAAACTATGGCCCGCGGGCCACATGCAAATACAAATATTGTATTTGTTCCCGTTTTGTTTTTTTACTTCAAAATAAGATATGTGCAGTGTGCATAGGAATTTGTTCATAGTTTTTTTTTAAACTATAGTCTGGCCCTCCAACGGTCTGAGGGACAGTGAACTGGCCCCCTGTTTAAAAAGTTTGAGGACCCCTGGTACAGAGCACAGGGCTTTATAATGCTGCCAATGTGGCATTCCTCGCACTTTTACATACAGATTTGTGTCTCCCACCAGACTGTGCCCATCAGGGTGAAGTGTTTTTGATAATCTGTGCATGCCCCTCCCTCGTCACAGTGTTCAGTGGGACACCAGAGATGGACTCTCATGCTTCAGTTTGTTCCCGTTTGTGCCCAAACACATACATTTCAAAGTCCTGCTTCCATCTGGAAATGCAAAAAATGGTCTCAGAGTAGAGAAACACTGGGGATTATTCAACTTCATGGGCAGGACCACCACATACAGGAGCGCCGTTTCTGCACAGGACAAGGGCTCCTAGCCAGCCCAGGCTCCTGCTGCCAAGCACCCTGGCATGGGCTCTGCACTAGACTGCACCCAGAGGCTGTGTCTGTTCAGGAGGAAGGATTCTTTTGCCCCAAGAGGTATCTTGTTCCAATTCACCTGAAGGCACCATACAGGCAAGAGCAGAGCCCTGTTCACGGCCACTATAAAAGTGATCAATCTGACCTTCTTTCATGACCTCATGCAGGTCATTTTATCTGATCACCAATCTAAAGACTGTATAAGGTAAGGCCAGGTAAGACCAGTTTTTCACAGTGTGATGAGTGCAACACTTATAAATGTGAGAAGGGGAGAGAGATGGCATCCACTTCAAATGCATGGCAAAAATGCTGTTGTCCAGACTAGAGAATTGTGGCTTTAACATGTAGGGTCACTAAACACAGAGCTTCAAAGTCAAAATGTACTAAAAAATCAAACTGGGGCAATGTACCACTTTGTGATGCTAAGATAGGTGTCAAAATAAGAAGGCAAAGGCACCAAGTTTATGGGGGAGATATTTTAGTTGCTGCCACTAGTTACCTGGGGAACAGAACTTAATCCGCCCTTTGGTGGGTTACAAATAGCATCTTTCTTTATATATGTGACAGCGTTACTCATTATTACCAGTAACCAATGGAGTCATATATTTCTAGATTTTAATATGCTGGTTTATTTCCCTATTAAGGTTTTTAGCTTCATAAAAATGTGTTTTTTTAATTTCTAGGATGTTATAAAACTCACCAACCTAACCTAATAAAAATTCTAACTAAAATAGGAATAGAAGGAAAATAATTAAAATGTAAACTCAATAAAAGCAAAGCTTTTCTCTGCTATGCCCTAGGGCAGTGGTTCTCAATCTTCCTAATGCCCCGACCCTTTAATACAGTTCCTCATGTTGTGGTGACCCCCAACCGTAAAATTATTTTTGTTGCTACTTCATAACTGTAATTTTGCTACTGTTATGAATCGTAATGTAAATATCTGATATGCAGGATGTATTTTCATTGTTACAAATTGAACATAATTAAAGCATAGTGATTAATAACAAAAACAATATGTAATTATATATGTGTTTTCCAATGGTCTTAGGCGACCCCTGTGAAAGGGTCTTTCGACCCCCAAAGGGGTCGCGACCCACAGGTTGAGAACCGCTGCCCTCGGGTCTAAAGAGTGCCTGGAACATACTTAAGTGTTCAATCAATATTTATTGAATGTCAGAAGGGAAAAAAGAAAAATAGCCCTATGCTAAAAAAAGTACAGGACTCAGCAAAAGTCATTTTCCTCTGCTAATGATCCCTAACATATATAAATGTTAAAAATATAAATATACAATTAGAAGATACTAACTTTTCATCATCTATGGGCATTAGTCACTCACCTGATATTAGCTCTGTCATATTCCCAATGCATTTTAGTAATAAAGTTCAAGACAAGAACCATGATCACAAATACAATTACTTGCCTAAAACAAGATCAATTTAACAGCAGAGTACAAAACGTATGTCTTAAAACTGACCTTTTTTTTAATTGAACACTTCCTTCAGGTGATTTCAAGGGATCTTTTAATAAGTATGATGCTGAATGGGTTTCTGTTTAAGTGCTATAAACTAGTTTCCAAAACTCTTCTGAAAAGATTCTTAAATTAAGTATCTTTTGTGATTTCAAATCTTTTGTGATTGTATGTCTGGACAAAGATGTTCAAAAAATTTTCCACAGAAGAGCAAACACAATAAAAACAGATAAATCCCTAAAAATACCAAACTACCCAATTCAGGTTACCTTCGAATCTGATGTACATCCTTAGGGAATGACTTCTGCATTTTTAGCTTTCAAACAAATCTGTGCTCCCAACTCGATTCCCCACAGAGCATTAATCACATGAATTAGGACTGAACTGACAGAAGTGACCATCAGCATAAAAAACATCTACCAACCCTAGCCAGTTTGGCTCAGTGGATAGAGCGTCAGCCTGCAGACTGAAGGGTCCTGGGTTCCATTCCTGCCAAGTGCACATGCCCCTGTTGTGGGCTCGATCCCCAGTAGGGGGTGTGCAAGAGGTAGCCAATCAATGATTCTCATCCATGTTTCTCTCTCTCTCTCTCTACCTTTCCCTTCCTCTCTGAAATCAATCTAATATAGTAATCTAATATCTAATATAATAATAGAGGAATATGCAAATTAGCCGGGACACCTTGACGTCATGACCAATCTACAAGCCAAGGAGAGCTACAGGAGGGCAGAGCAGGGAGCTAAGAGCAGGGAAAGCTACAGGAGGGTGGGAGAGCAGCTATGAGCAGCAGAGAGCTACCAGCGGCGGTGGGCGAGGTGGCCAGCTGAGGCAAGCGGCAGCGAGCTACCCGCACACGAACTTGTGCAGGGATACTAGTAAAAATATATTTTTTTAAAAACATCTACCATATGATTAATGTAAACAGGATTTTGTGAATTTATACTTGAAACTTCCACATGAGTCTTCTAAAAGATATTTAAACTACCTAAGAAAATAAACTGAAGGTTCTGGAGTAGATAGGAAATTAAAACTATCTATCTATCTATCTATCTATCTAGAATTCTCAATCTGTTCCCAAAGGATGTATAACAGTGATGGCGAACCTATGACACGTGTGTCAGAGGTGACATGCGAACTCATTTTTTTGGTTGATTTTTCTTTGTTAAATGGCATTTAAATATATAAAATAAATATCAAAAATATAAGTCTTTGTTTTACTATGGTTGCAAATATCAAAAAATTTCTATATGTGGCACGGCACCAGAGTTAAGTTAGGGTTTTTCAAAATGCTGACACGCCGAGCTCAAAAGGTTCACCATCACTGATGTATAATCCTCTGAACTACCAAGAAATCCCTAAGGATAAAAGCTTTCCACTAATATGTGGAATACAAACAAATTTTTTTAGTTCTAAAGTAGGACTTAAAATTATGTCTACTTCACCAGGACACAGATTCATTTCAAAGCTAAAACTAAATTACCCATTTTTTAAAAGTGCAGTTCAGGTTTTTGACAACCTGGTTCAAAGTGTAAAAAAGCCATCCACAGCTCTCTTCTAAAAATCGTCATCACTCAGAAAACAAAGAGCACCCATCATGCAGGCAGTGACTGAAATCCACACCTACAGATGGAAGGGAACCACGTTTCAGTTTCACTGGAGGCTTATTACTAAGATGGAGATAGTCTACCTCAAATTATCTGTATTTAGTGTTCTTCCACCGAAGAGCCTAAAATGCTCTCTAAGTTACTGGTTCCTACTGACAAGCATTTTGAGGGAGCAGTGACTTAGGCGACATAAGCATTCCCTACTACACTAACAGTCGAGTTCGTAACAATTATAAACATAATCGCACTCCTGAGCAAAAGGAAATGGATTTGTGATATCACTCTACCTCTGACATTATTTCTGCACAAGACACTGCAGCTATTTAAATGACCCTGTCGCTTTATGTTCCCTAAACAAATCCTTGCTATGGGTATAAAACCGGACTTAAAATTCACATTCCATTTTGAGGGAGCAGTGACTTAGGCGACATAAGCATTCCCTACTACACTAACAGTCGAGTTGGCATGTACCTGGGTTGCGGGCACATCCCCAGTAGGAGATGTGCAGGAGGCAGCTGATCGATGTCTCTCATTATTTCTGCACAAGACACTGCAGCTATTTAAATGACCCTGTCGCTTTATGTTCCCTAAACAAATCCTTGCTATGGAAATAAAAAAAAATAAAATTCACATTCCAGTGAACATGCCCAATCATTCAAACTAAGACCAATATTCCAGAAGATACTGGACCAGAGGGGGGACGAGGGCGTAGCAGAAGCAAATAGAAGATACATTTTTAATGAATGCTGATTCCCTGAAGGCTGCTTCTAATTTTGCGCTAGAGGAACAGAATTCCTTAAAAATCTCTTGCAGAACTAATGTCACGGGGAACTTACTTGTTCCTTCCCGGGACCAGTAAGCATGTGCTTCTATCCTGCAGCATGTTAGTAAAAGGGGAGGGGGGGTCCCTAGAAGCTTAAGGTTTCTGAGCATTTTCAAAATCAAAGTAAAACTTCCTTTACTAAGTCCAGTTACCCAGAATGCAGAGGTGGCTGGGAACTGTCTCTTGGGAAACTGGCGGTCAAAGTATGATTTAGGAGGAAAGTTCGGAGCTGAGGTCAACAGAGCAATCAATCCTGCATCAAAGTTCACGAGGAAACAACCCGAAAACAGTGATTCTACTTGAAGGGCACCCAGCAAGTGCTGGGAAGCAGAGCTGGAATTCATCTCAAATAGGTTATCTCATCTGGGGCGGGCTCCTGCCGAAACCCGAAAAGAAAATCAATCTGTATTAATATTCCGCTAAGTACACTGCATGACTCTGAGCCCGTGACGCCCTCCCCGGGGATGTAGTGTGTATGGGGGTTCGGGGGTGCGGAGGTGCGGTGGGCCGGCGAGCGTCCGCGCCTGGAAGCGGGGTCCGCAGGGCCCGCCAGGACGGCGGCCGCCCCACCCGGCAAGGGGGCAGCAGAGCAGCGGCGCGCGGCCTGCGCCGGGACCGGCGGGCGCATCCGTGGAACCACCGCACGCCCGTCCCTCCCAGGACGTGCAGCCCCGGGCCTGCCGGAGCGACGGCTCGGACCTCGGCGGCGCGGCCTGCGCCACCCGCCCCGCCCCACTCTCCGGAGCGCGGACCTCGGGGGTCCATGGCCACCTCGACCGAGGCGGGCCCGGCGCGAGAACAGGCAGCACCGCCGCGTCGCCCTGCCCCCCACCCCCGGCGCCGGCTACTCACGTGCCAGATGGCGAAGAAGATGAGTGCGGCGGTGAGCAGCAGCGCCAGCATGTAGCAGAAGGCCGCGAACGTGAACGCCATGGCCGGGGAGGAGGAGCAGGGAGCGGCGGCGGTGCCAGCGGAGAAAGGCGGCGCAGGGCCCTCTGGGTAAAACCATTCACTTCCCCCGGCCACAGCCTAGACCGCCGCCGCCGCCGCTGCCGCCGCCGCCGCGGCACCCGCCCTCCCAGCGCGCCTGCGCACTGGCCCGGGTGCGCCGGCGCCCTCTGATGGCAGAAGTCCGCGTCGCACTTATATTGTCCGCACAGCTGATTGATTTTTCCTGCCCTACCATGTTAATTCTTTGAACAAATATTTTTTGAATGAGAGCCTAGTATGTTCCAGGTACTGTGCTTCTTCTTTGAAATACAAATATGAGTAAGATAATTGCACGTAAAGAACTTAGTATACTGCCCGCAATAAACCTAAATAAATCATGACAGAATTCTAACCCCGTTAAGGGAACTCTCTGCGGTGAGTTATCAGAGAGCATGCAGCCTGCCCTGGAGCATTCAAGGCAGGATAGATAAAGTTGTCTAATTAAAGAGAAGGTGGGATCAGCCGTCCAAGGAGACGATTCAAAGACACAGAGTTGAAAGAAAGAAAAAAAAGCTTAGTGACTTTTTCCATTGCAACCAAGTAGAACATCATATAGACTTTGAAATATAGAGAGATGGACGTCTAGATATAGGGACAAGGAGATACAGATATAGCTGAAACAAAAATTTCATCAAACAATAAGACTCATACGTGCTTTCCGTTCTATTCTTTTTGTTTCTGTTTTGTTTTTAATACTGGTTGTGACCCGTAAAATTGATTCACCACCTGCTAACTGATCGTTGCTGACGGGAGCGGAAATCATTGAAGGCTTTTAAGCAAGGGAGGGACATGTTTAGATTTCCATTAAAGATTGCTCACACTAGCAAATTGCACAGCGAATGGTTTAGAAGCCGAGTCTATCCAGTTCTGTCCAACAGAACTTCCTGCAATCGTGGAAATTTTATCTGCGCTGTCCAGAGCATCTGCAATGTGGCTAATATGACTGAAGAATTGAACTTTAGATTTCACTTATTTTAATTAATTAAAATGTAAATAGCCACATATGGCTAGTGACTATTGTCTGAGACAGTGCAGGTCTATGTCACCAGGATTATGTGGCATCTTTGTGCAAATCACAAAGATATTCTCTCCAAATAAACAGAGGTCCACACCAGGGCACAGCAATGCAGGCTGTACTTCAGCCCCACCAACCTCCTGGGCCAGCCACCTGTGTGTAACATGCAAACTGCCCAACTATGCACCAGGACCCTGATTAGGATCATGAGCTTGGAAGCAAGGAGTTCACAGCGATGGTCCTGGCAAAAGTGGCCGTGGCTCTGACTAAAGCTGTGGAAGCTGGGAGAGAAAGTAGTGAACATATTTGGTAGTGCTTGGGAGATAAGTTCAGCAGGATTTGACTGACTGGACACCATGGTGAGAGAAAGAAAGGTGTCAGAAAAAACTTGTTTAGTACTACAGGCCACAGAAAGCATAGCAAAATACAGCATTGGGCAATATTTGTCCAGGAGAACTCAGACTCTAATGAGGGGCAGATGCAGCCTTCTGGTCTCGGGGTAAACATTTTTCGGGGAATTGTCCAAGTCAAACCATGAGATTCAGCCCCGTTTTTGTAAATGTATCCCATCTACACTAATACTGAGGAGGGGCAGCTGGACAATGCTCCGCCAAAGCAGACAGCATCCTCCTGCTGACCACACAGATTCTTTGTCCCTCTGGGGTTTGAATGTGAGATATGCAAGGACACTCAGCGACAGAGGGCAAGTCCACAAGTGGGGAGGCACTACACAGAAAGCAGTCAGCAGAACCCAAAGGTAAGAGGAATCCCAGAGTACGCTGGACCATAAATAACTCGTGCTATTTATGAGTAGATCAAAACCATGTCTCAGCAGAAGTGGCTACTTTCCTCATGGGGACCTGCTTCTTGTTTGCTTGTGGGTTTTTGTTTTTGTTTTAAGAAAAATGGGAGGTTATTAAAAATCAATAATAAACAAAAGTTTCACATGTTCACTGCTTGGTTGCTATTTGTACCTGCTGTTCATGTCAATTTACGCCAACCTCATTAGACCCTGAAACATCAGAGAGCTGACATTGGAAGTCTAGTAACTGCACTGGCTTGGGAAAACATGGAAAAAAGCAGCACATTTTTGCAGATAATCTGCAAGTCCTGGAGCATTTGAGGAGCTTTCAGCTAGTGCTGACCACCATTCCCAGGGCTTCTATATGTGGTAATCAGGCTGGAAAAACGAGCGCATGGGCATCTTTTTTATCATTTGTTAACCTTTGAATTTTACACTCCTTTGTGCTTAACCTTTCAATTATACACTTTTAATTTTTTATATAGTGTTATTAGAGACATTCTGTAGAGCCTCCCTTCTCCAGCACAGACAGCCCCTCTCAGACACGGGGACCATGAACCCCAGGCAATGCTCCTGCTTGTCTGGAGGAATATGCATCCATAGAGATGACTGCAAATGCACAACTTGCAACCGTGAAACATGTTGAAAAAGCCGCTGCTCCTGCTCCTCCACCCCCCTGCCCCCCGGGGCTGTGCCAAGTGTGCCCAGGGCTGCATCTGCAGAGGAAGCTCAAGCAAATGCAGCTGCTGCCACTGAAATGCATCTGTGTTGCTGAGGGTGCCGCCTGGGAAGCGTCTGTGCGGTGGATTCATTGACAAGTTGAGATGATTGTGCTTTTTGTATATTTGCCCCAATGAGGTGTTGGTGGCATTCATGTAAAGTGCTTGGAGCAATAAAGTTTTCACTCGTGGCAAAAAAAAAAGAAAAAAGAAGTATTTTGTAACTTCTTGTAAGTAAAAAGTTTATAATTTGAAAAGAATCCATTTTCCTCCAGTTCTATTGGACTAGCAGCTCCATTCTGTTTCTCAGAGTGGGCCACAGGCTAGAAGAACAGTAATGAGATTCCATCTCTCACCTCCAACATTATCAGGACTCTCACCTTTGGAAGCTGGGCGTGTCCTGGCCAGGCCAGACCTGGGGCAGGTGCCAGTCCAGCCATGTACCACACTGCAGTGCTCTGGACTGTGTGCAATGGTGTGGGCAGGGCTGAAGGAAACTAACAAGGGAAGATGTGGTACTCTGCAGCCAGCAAAGCCAGGAGCCATTACCACCCAGAGGCCTAAAGGATTGTAAAGGGAACTGAATCTGAATTTATAATGTGAGAGTGGCTGTGAGGCAGGAAGGGCCAAGATGGGCCGTGGGTGAAGGGAAGTCAAATTGGTGTTGAGTAAGCCAAAGCAGTGAGAATGAGAAAAGATTAACAAGTAAATGGCTAGGTGGTTCAACCGCAGAAACATGGAACTAGGCAGCGAGATGCTTTAATATCCTAGTAGCAAAAGATCAACAAACTTCTGCTTTTGATATGAAAACTAGAAAACTGTCCATAGAGCTAGAGCTGGGTGCTTCCAAGTCCCAAGCCATATTCCAGTCTCAATGAGGCTCAACAGTACAGCCATCTCTGGGCCAGTCAATCCATTATTATGAGTAATCTCATAATTAATCCAATGACTAAAGCCAGATTAACATGAATACCCAGAAACTTCAACAAGGAGTGTGTGCTACCAATATGAAAATAAATTATACCATTTACTGAGAAAAATAAGAGACCTAAAAAAAGATTTTTCTTGATTGAAGTTTTTAAAGATGTCATTTGCTCCCAAATTAATTTATATTACCACAATTGTAACCTAAATCCCAATGAGATTTGGAACAAAATTATTTTAAAGTTCACCTTAAAAAATAAATACATGAAAATAATAAGTCAATATTTGAAAAAAGTAAAGGTGAAAAGAAATTAGCCTTATGAGTTTTGAAAACATTTTATAGTGCTGCAAAAAGTATCACTATGATTGAGGCACCAAAATTGGCAAACATATCAATGTATTAAGATACCCTAGAAAAAGAAACAATTCTATATAAGAATTAAATACTTTTTAAAGGAGGCATTCCAAATTATTGGGGAAAATATTTTTGGTGATGTTAAAATCTTTGTTGAGGTACATAAATAATTTAAATACTTTATGTCACATAATTAGGTAAATCCAAGGATAGCCATAAAGTGATGAGAACATATAGAGTTGACAAATCTCTGGGCGTGGATATACTTTCTAAACTAAAAATCAGTGAGTTACATCACACACACACACACACACACACACACATACACACACACAAAACCCATCCAATCAACAGACCAATTATGCAAATGAATAAAAAATTTAAAACATAAGAAGTACCAAAATAAAAAGAAAGCTGAAATGTCTAGTAAAAAAATGGCAAGGGGTTAATAAATATAGGGTGTCCCTAAAAATGTATATTAAAATACATTTTAATACAGTGTTTATTAAAATACATTTCATTTTTAAAATTGAGCTATCAGCTGTTAAAGTGTGTATACATTTTTTGGGACACCCTGTAGGTTGAAAACTCACTAAAATAAATTCTAACACCCCAGTCAATGACTGGACAAAGGATAGGATTATACAATTTACAGTTGTAGTTGGCTAACATGTGAGAAAATAGTCAAGATTCTCTAGTAATCAAAGAAAAGCAAACTTAAAAATAAAGATAGCCATTTTGGTAATCAAGTTAAGCAATACTTTAAATAATAAAAGTATTCAATGTTGGCAAGGCTCCTTTGTCCATAGCTGCTGGGAGTCCAGTTCAGTATAACACTCTTGAAAAATAATCGAAAGCATAGAAAAAGTATTTTGCACAAAAATATCTCCAGCAATAGTTTTGGAAACCATCAACATATCAAACAATAAGGGAATTGTTAAGTAAACCATAACATATGCACTCAGAAAAATATCATGAAACTAATTAGATTTATGAAGTTTTTTTAATGGAGAATGTATACATTTTATTACTCCTAAAATTGGACACATACCATATACAATTACCTTTTTAAAATATATAAGGAATGCCCTAGCCCGTGCTGTTCAGTTGGTTGAGCATCATCCTGTGCGCCGAAAGGTTTCTGGTTGGATTTCCAGTCAGGGCACATGTCCCCGGTCAGGTGCATGCAGGAGGCAGATGATCGATGTTTCTCTCTCACTTGGACCTCTCTCTCTCTCTCTCTCT